ACATGAATTCGCTATTAAGTTTAAAGTTGGTATTTGGCCCCATGTTTATATGCATTAGCTATTATGTTCCAGTTTGGCCGTTTGTGACCACAGCTACTCTTCCAGCTAAATGGATATGATATCTCACTACACCTTGACTAGTTAATTTCTTCGACGGGCTGCAGCACAGCACGTAATTCCTGCAATGGGACTAACTTGGCAAGGCTCAGCTTGAAGCGAAATGTCAAAGTGAAGCCTAAAATAGGGAAAATAAGTTTCCCGCTGGGACTCCGAACCGGGAATCTCGGCAGAATCAGACTAGAGCGCGACAGAAAAACCGCAGCGCAGCACAAGTGGGTGCTATATCCTTGACGTGACCCGGAGTAGCGAGCGTGATGTTGCTTCCCCTCACCACGCAAAAAGGGAAAATTCGCTCTAGCTGAACAGGCGTCATCAGTGTATTGGAGGCTTCCGATGTCACGGCTGCGTTCGTGCTCTGTGGCGGCCAGCCCGATTTCCACGTTTCAAAATACACCCATGAAATTAGAAACTTGGAATGCTGGGCCGGTGGAAACGTAAGCGCTGAAGTCGGTATGCACCGAGCGGGCACCCATCCGCGTTTTTATAAAAAATGTAAGCAGCGGACCTTGCGAAAAACAGGGAAACACTTTGTGAAAGCGTATATATACATGGGCGTGCACTTATTGTTCACTAAAACATAAGTGTCTTTTAAGAAAGCTTAATCGAAGGGCTCTTGAGAGAACGGTAATAGAACGTATTATCTCTGCGGCGGCGTATTCGTTGTCAGGGCGGGCACTCGTAGAATAATCAGAAATGCGAACACCGGCGCTAGCCTTCTATTGCTTATTACCTAGGTGAGATTATATAGAGCTATCTTTGGATGTGTGTGTGTTGTGCTGTGGGTAATAGTATGAGTGTGTGTTTTGTGTGAAAGGGGTGTTTTGTTTGTTCCCCCTCTAAGGCATGGCGCTGGTTTCGGCCCCGCTTCCTACATGATTTGTCACTTAAAAGTTATTCCAAGCCCTTCAGACGAGAGCCCTAAAGACTGAAGAATATATTCAGCAACACCACGCCCTCTCGGAATTCGAGTCGGATGTTCTGGCTGGAGAAAAAAAAATAAAAAAAGTTTAAGTATTGAAGTATTGAGCCCCTCCCCCCCCCCTGAAACACCAAAATTTTACTTAATTTGATAAGAATAAATGCTATTGTTGCACGGATAAAAGGTTGAATGTCTAAGTTCCGCGTAGACAGCAAGATCCCCCATTGAGACACAACAATACATGGAACTTGAGCACTGCGTCTGCTTGAACTAGGCGCGGCCAGTACTGATGAACAATTGTTAATTCATGTAATTTTTACACTAATCACACCCTCCAATGTGGTGACAGAGACATCGTTGAGGAAGATCGAGAGTTCGTAAGAGGAAAGTGAGAGATCACCCAAGCACAAAATATCTATTCCTCAAATTAAGATGTGGTGCTGACCGTTTGGGCCAATCTGTGGTAACGCATCCAAGCCGCCACCCTACTGCAACAAAGATTCCACATCCTCCCTGCTCAACTCCGGTACTAACTAAACATCGAATACAGAGTCAACCGCGCATGGCTCTCTTGGGACGAGGGTGAACCGATAGCAAAAACCGTACTGAAACAAGTAGATCAGTGCAGTAGCTGTGCCAGTGTTAACCCTGTAAGGTAGCCCAGGCAGTGGTTTTATCATTTCTTACTGGCAGCCATTACATCGAAAGAGTTCAACTTAAATACTCTGTTGCACTTACACATGCGAGTACTTTAATATTTTGAAAAGATCAACCATTGTCACTCGTGTTTATCTTACGGGTAATACCCTGGTTCATATATGCATAGAGTGAGTAAGCAAGATAGAAGTGGTCAGAACCGAACTGTGTGTCGTTTCACGGCACATAAGCGTTAGGGAGAACGTGGCGCAGGGCCGAGAGGAGATAAACCTACGAAAATTGATTATTCGAGACGAGTCAGTCAAGACGACCAGTCTAATTGAGGAATAAGAATTTTGTTGTGAGCCATGAACCTGGTCCAACGTGGGTGATTCCTGATAGTGGCCCATACGGCGGCAGTCCAAGAGACGCAGTGTATAATCCCGAAAATGTAATGTGATGTGGATCTGCTGGAACGCACTGCATCTATCAAGACCGAAAAAAATAGCATTTTTTCGCAAAAATTTTTGACTCATTAACTGTAATACTTAACTTTTTTAATTGTTTTTTTCTCAGGCCAGAACATCTCCAGACTGGTGATCTGAATATATCTTCCGTTAGCGCGATTGGAGTGACAGAATAGGCGAAAACAGGACAAAACAAACCACACACACAACACAAAACCCACACACACACAACACACACACAAGATAGCCAAATTATAGTATAGAAAGAAGCAGCGCCTGTCGCATCTGAATTCAGCATCGCGACCACGGAATGGCCGCGAGAATATCCGTTTCAAACCGCAAGCCTTCGTGGGCTCGAAGCCTTGTGTGAATAGCGCAATATATACGCTTTCACAGTTCCTGCAGCGCTGCTAATTAAAAGCGGTCCGCCTCGTGCATTACACAGTGCTGCACAGAGACGAACGCAGCCGTGAACGAAGCGCTCCAATACACTATGACGCCTTCGGAGCTAAGAATTTCCCCTTTCGGTAGGCGAAGCAAATTCACGCGTCGGTGTCAGGATATGCCCACGTGTGCGCGTGTGCGCGCGTGTGCGTGTGTCAGCGTGTGGTGCCGTGTTGCGCGCGTGTTCGTGTGCGTGTGCGCGCGTGTGCCGCGTGTGGCGCGCTGTCGAAAACGCTACGGACGGCAATCAACGCAGCCTCACGGACTAAATCATCACACTAGTAATCCATCATACGTAGCCATAATTATCATCGTGGGTTTTATTGTAAACATCTCAAATCGCAGTCGTTTGAAAGCCGTCGTGTGGAAATTAATAATGCCATCCACATCAAATGGAACGATCAATGACATGCGCTCGCAACCTCGCACATCAGTCGAACTCATCAGATGGCGCTAAGGCAACAGTCGATTCCATCAGACGCAGCAACGCACGGCATTAGCTACCCCGCTCGTTTAGATCTCTCCTCTCGCGTGCTATATATCGCTCTCTCTCTCTCTCCTCTCTCTCGTCTCTCTCATCTCTCGTCTCTCTCTCTCCCTCCTCCTCTCGTCGCTCTCCTCTCTCTTCTCTCTTCTCTCTCTCTCTCTCTCTCTTCTCCTCTCATCTCTCTCTGCTGTTTCTCTCTGGTCATCTCTACCTCTCTCTCTCTCTCTATCTCTCTCTCTCTCTCTCTCGCGCGGCGCTTCTCTCTTCTCTTTCTCTCTCTCTCGTCTCTCTTCTCTCCTCTCTCGCTGTCCTCTCTCCTCTCTCTCTATGCTCTCTCGCTCTCTCTCTCTCTCTCCTCTCTCACGCTCTCTCTTATCTCTCTCACCTCTGTCTCTCATCTCTTGTCTCTCCTCTGTCTCTCCTAAATCTCTCTCTCTGTCTCTCTCTCTCTCTCTCTCTCTCTCTCTCCTCTCTCTGCTCTCTCTCTCCTCTCTCTCTCTCCTCTTTCTCTGTGTGTGCGCTCATCTCTCTTTATCTCTCTCCCTCTCTCATTATCTTCTCTCTCTCTTCACTCTCTCTCTCCCTTCTGTGTCGGCTCTCTCTCCCTTTCATCTCTCTTTCTCTCTCTTTCCCTCTCTCTCTCGTCTCTCTCGTCGTCTCTCTCTCTCATCTTCTCTCTCGTCCACTCTCTCTCTTTCTCTTTCTCTTCTCTCGTCTCTATCTCGCTGTGTCCTGCTCTCTAAGCCGAGGGCACGCTATGGCGTCTCCGCGGCACATCAGGCGGGCGCTTAATAGAATCTCGTCATCTCCCTATAGTGAGCACGCCGCCTTCTGAACGACGGACTTCCGCGATCGTCCGCGAGGTTCAGAAGCTGGCGAAGCCAGGCAAAATCAATCTTCGCAGAACATAAGATGCTAGAAGACTCGGGGTGGGAATGTGTGGTGGGTGGCCCCACGGAACATAGATGCTAGATCGGGGTGGAATGTGTGGGTGGGGGTGGCCCCACGGAACATTAGATGCTAGATCGGGGTGGGATGTGTGGGTAGGGGTGGCCCCACGGAACATAGATGCTAGATCGGGGTGGGATGTGTGGGTGGGGGTGGCCCCACGGAACATAGATGCTAGATCGGGGTGGGATGTGCGCGTGGGGGTGGCCCCACGGAACATAGATGCTAGATCGGGGTGGGATGTGCGCGTGGGGGTGGCCCCACGGTCAATAGATGCTAGATCGGGGTGGGATGTGTGGGTGGGGGTGGCCCCACGGAACATATATGCTAGATCGGGGTGCGATGCTAATTAATGTAGTTTGAAACAAGCAACAGTGGGATCGATCAACGTGGCCGGCCGTGTGAATCTAGTCGCGTGCAGTGGCGCCTAGCAATCAATGATCGTAACACTAACGCTAACAAGTACACTAACTCTTAACACTTACCCCACCGAGTGCACTGCGTTGACCCGCCTAGCGCCACACATACAAGTACTCAACACGACACGATACAGCAGTAACAGGCCTACACGACACGATACAACAGTGACAGGCCTACACGACACAACACAGCAGTAACAGGACTACACGACACGATACAACAGTGACAGGCCTAAACGACACGATACAACAGTGACAGGCCTACACGACACAACACAGCAGTAACAGGCATACACGGCACGCCGGTAAAAATTTGCAGTCATGTAGATCGATACCAATGTATCAGCCAGCCATGCTGGCAGCATAAGGCGCTCGCTAAAGATGAAAGGGCTTCGCCGAATCATATGTAAATTCGATGGACTAGTAAGTAGGAAGAACAGTGTGAATGGCGCTTTACAGTCTTTCATGTTCACTATCTGCAAGGGGAGGGATGGCTAGCTAAGAAGAAAGTAAGAGCGAGAGCAGGGAGAGCGAAGGACAAAGGGGGAGACGGGGGCGGGGAACAGAGGGGAAGAACGCGGACTGAGGAGAGAGAGGAGGATGGGGGAACGCACGATGGGAGAAAGTGGGAGGGTGGGATAAAGAATATGGTACATACTATAGCAGTAACGACCAAGTACCGTCCCCCTGGTCCATGGATCCATATAGAGACGATCTCAATTTATCTATTACACATTATATTTACTACGCACGGACACATTTAAACCAAGTTCGTATGTAGTAATATTGTTGTGTGACGGCAAACCACTCAAGGCTTACAACACGTTCATGACCCGCTATAAAACAGGCCTTCTTAACCTGTGGTCCATGGACCAGTTTGGGGTCCGTGGATGGAATTCAGGGAGTCCGTGAACCAGGTGTTTATGTGCTTATATGCATTTTCTGGGGAAGGATCCGTAGCTTTCACCAGATTCTCAAAATGGTCATGTCCTTTTGAAAGGTTAAGAACCACTGCGCTATATAAACCCATGTACCTCTGGGCCATTACAAATACATAGCTCTAGGTAGCCCATAGAATGTTTGTGCATAGTTAAAATGCTATCAACGTATGCGTAAGATTTTACCACTTCAGACGCTAAACATGCAGTTCCTGTGAATTAGTGAGTTGTTACGTGCGTTCATGATACACCGATTAATACTACTGACATTCAACGTGAATAGAAGGAATTCACATTTAAGATAGCCCTAAGAATAAACGTTTTGTACAAATCTGTGCACAATAAAACTAAATAAGGCATGCAAATATGCGTTCGATTTTCAAAACTTTGGATATATTCATGAGCTAATAATACCTATTATTACCTAGGTATTATAATTTACCTAGGTATTATTAGCTCTTGATATATTGTTTAGCTTATTAAACCCACGTAAAAACATTCGGATTAATAAATGAAAGAGCCTTCCTCTAATACATAGGTTCAAGAGCGTATTAAGTATGCTCTATGAATAATTAATACGCTCTTGATAGGTTTCAGCATATACCCCATAACAATTTTACCCACGAACTCTGACTAGTGACTACGAACCTCGCGATCGTGTCTAAACTACGTTGTCGATATTTCAAGATTATTTACGACCGGCTTTTGGTAGCTTAGCTAGAATGAGAAGACGTCTCGTGTTCGAGATCTGTGTAATCGGCAACATGTATAGATAACGTCCTCACTGCAGCCCCGCCTCTCCTTGTAGCACAGCTTACAGTGTCAGTCGATAACAGTAGTTCTTACAGCATGCCTGCCGATTTACAGCCTAGCATCGCTGCCAGCAATATAGCACAGGCTATACGCGCGGCAGAATCCCATGTCATGCCAACTGGACATCTGTTACAGTATACGAGAATCGATTCGCAACGTATCAAATCCACATGAAAGGGCGGTTGCCTTTGCGGACACGGCGCCGGAATATACTGTTAGTTTTTTTTACGCGCGCGCCATGAATGGACGAAGATGCGTATGATTGTGACGAGAACGTAGGATGAAAAGAACGCATCGTGGTGACATTCCGGATACGAGAGCCTCGGCTAGACTGACGCCAAAGTTGCCCGTGACCAGAGACCCTGATTCGTAGAGACTCGTTGATTCTGAACGACTTGCAGAGTCAGTCTATACCCAAGGCGCGAATTTTTTTTTCTTACACGTTATATCCATTGCAGAGTTTTGGGCTCCTCTGATTTGCTTTGACTCAACAAACCTTCAAAACAAGGGAACAAACGCCATTTGTAAATATTTGTTATGGTTTATGATCGGTAGATAAGTAAGTTTTCTGGTGTATTTTCCATAAAAACACACATTTTACTCATTAATATAAAATATAATATCACTAGTATAATTACAATTCTTTGTGTAAATGTGTTATTTTTATCGTTAACGTTAAGTTATGAGAGGGTCTGGGCCATAGATATCCCATAAATGGGATATCTATGGTCTGGGCTCTCGTAACACTTAATTACTACATACGTACGTATACGTACTCGTACTATAGTATAGCCCTTCGCTCCGTCGCAGGAGGAAGGAGCGAAGAGCTATAGTACTAGAGCTATACGTACTCGTACTATAGTATAGCCCTTCGCTCCGTCGCAGGAGGAAGGAGCGAAAGGCTATAGTACTAGAGCTATACGTACTCGTACTCGTTGACGCTAGAGCCTAAACTGAGAAAAAAGTTTTCTGGTGTATTTTTTTGAAAAACTTAAAACACATTTTACTCATTAAGATAAAATAAAATATCACTATAATTGCAATTCTTTGTGTACATGTATTTTCAAATGTAAACAAGTACTAACACATACGTGTCGTTTAATAACAAAGGTTTGTTTACTTTTTGCTCATAGTACGAGTACGTATACGTACGTATGTAGTATTACGAGAGCCCAGACCCTCTCATAATTTAAGATTATGATGAAAATAACACATTTACACAAAGAATTGTAATTATAGTGATATTATATTTCATATTAATGAGTAAAATGTGTGTTTTTCATAGAAAATACATCAGAAAACGTACTTATCTACCGATCATAAACTAAAACAAATATTTGCAAATATTTGCTCGGGCCAAAAACGTCCGTGTGAACGCGCCTTATATATATAAGTTGATTTATATGCTCTGCTTTGACTCAACAAACCTTTCAAAACAAGAGAACAAACGCCATTTGAAAATATTTGTTTTAGTTTATGATCGGTAGATAAGTACGTTACGTGATTTATATGCTCTGGTCAAAGAAAATCAAAGCAGCCAATCAGAGGAGCCCCATGGATATAACGTGTAGGAAAAAAATTCGCACCCCGGGCTGACTTCAGCCCAAAACGCCGCGCTTCGCTGTCTATAATTACCCTATCTCACTTACAGTCGATTTTTTTACACAGGCTAGTATTCAAACCTCACGATCATTGGCAACCATACGAAACCATATACCGTTAATGACGAGAACCGAATGTGGTCGCCATCTTGACAGCGAAATACGATGCAGAAATACAGTAGCAGTGTCTTCCACTATTGCACCGATTTACCTTAAAAATAGACATCTACACTAGTTTAAAAAATACGAATATTAGTTCAGCAGTCAGCAGCTGGAACCACCGAATAGATAGATACGTTCACATAGAATTGGCTGTTACATATCTCCCACTCGCGCGCGCGCACGTGGCACTAAACCCTATAAGATTACATCGTTACACCAAAAGTTTATAAACTAGTGAGATATATAATATGCAACTATTCTAGTTGTGGTGAGGACACTTTCCGGGGGAACGGCGTTTCCCGTAATGGCTCCAGCAAATATATTGCCACACCCTACCGGTTAAAGAAACAAGAATAAACACTCCGCTTATTAGTTTTATCGCAGCAGATACTGCCTCGAGTTATACGCAGAAGCGTGCTACCATCGCAAGCCCTCCCGGTGACCTTTAGCATGCTGCGCAATGTGGCTTCACCGACCAACCGACGAAATGTGTTCCGGCAAAGCTGTTCGAGAGAGCTTCAGGGCCGTGCACACTAGTTAGTTTGCTTTGACGTGACCGGAATCTAAAACAGCGCTACGTATGCGCAAAACGACAGCGGCCTTGCGGCTGCTGCGTGGCCGACTGGCTGTGAAAACAACAACCCTTAATCGTGCTACGACCCGCGCCGAAACATGCATGGCTTCATCCCATCAGCGACTCGACGAACAAAAAATCGATGTTTGCATTCCGCAGGGACACGGAAGTCATGACGTCCGAGGATGGCCCTTAATATCGGAGTGTGAAGACACGACGCACGCTACTGGCAGTACTGCACACTTACACATAACGATAGATAGATAACTCTATATTTATGTGTAAGTGTGCAGTACTGCCAGTTAAGTAGCGTCACTAGCGTGCAGCAGCGTGCGTGCGGTGGGCGTGTGTTGCATTGGCTGGAGCATTTGCAGCACGGCTTGTCGGCAATAATAGGTAAAGGAGAGTAGAGAAACATTAAGACTTTGGTAGTAAATAGATTTCGTATTTATTTAGCTTTATATTTTATTGAAACGCTCCAAGTGCCTGTGCTTCTGTTCATCCCAGCGGTGTAGAACATTCATGGAAACAGTTTAGACTGATTCCACGAATCGTTGTTGCCATTCTTAGGCGCAGTTACCGGGACGTTTGGAGACAGTCTAGGCATGGCTGAAGATCCCCTGAGATCAGACCACGTCATGGCGAATGCTTACACACTGGGATTATTAGCTTATGACAGGTTGCTAGATAACAGCCACTACTATTTACTTGACGCTCAGTCTAACGAGACAACAAGTTGTTATCCATAATACAGCTTATTTCAGACCACTCGTATTTTGGAATTTCATCGAAATAACATTTTTCAGTGGAGAATAACTACTTTTAATCTTACATTCATGTACATTCATGACGCGTGGTCTGCTCACAGAGTGAATCTACATGGCAGCCAAACGGGGGAATCACAGTGCTTTACGTATGCCACACGTGTTTTACGTGCTTTACGTATGCCACACGTGTTTTACGTGCTTTACGTATGCCACACGTGTTTTACGTGCGTCTTATCGTAACGCCCACACAGTGGCCGGAGAGGTTTGTGTGTTTACGGTGCTTTAACGTATGCCGCCACGTTTTTAGTATTCCAGCCGTGTTTACGTTATGCCGGACACGTGTTTTGGTCTGCTGCTTGACGTTTGCCACATGCTAGCACGTGGTTTTATCATGAGCTTCCGCTGTCTTTACGCTTACACTAACACGGCTGTTTACGTGCATTTACGTATTCCACACCGTGTTTTCACGTAGCTTACGGATGCAAAGCACGTGTTTAACGGCATTAACTCTATGCCGGCGCACGTGTTTATTACGCAAGCTTTACGATTATTTCCACACGTTGAGTTTCGTGTAAAATAAATCAAGTCGAAAACCGCGCAGACGCATGTCATAAATACCTCTGCCAGGGTGCAGCGGAAGGTTATGTTTTTCCACCTGCTGTATGTTCCTGTATCCGCTTTGTGTTTTCGTGCGGTGAATGTGGGCTTGATTTGTGCTACAGCCTAAGCTGAAAAATTTTTCATGTACGGCATTTATCATAAAATGCCCCTATTCAAGGATAGGTCAGACAAATGCGCGCTAACTTAGACAGATTGATGAGAGATTTTATGGTGATCCTGCATTCCAATTAACTTGATTAATTAATTAATTAATTATTAACTTAATCTCTCATGATACGTCAGTTAAATAGGTAACCTTGCATTAGAAGATTCTATACCCATTTCGTGATGATCCGCTGATCCAATTAATTATAGTACATTATATAAGTAAAATTTTCAGGATTAGTCCCGTCTATAAATTGGTTGGAATGAGCGTAATGTTAGAAATTGATTACATTTTAATGTGTTTGGATCCCGCATCCAATTAAATTAGTTAAATTAATAAATTGAATAATAAACTATGTTCACGTTAGTACTGCGCACTCGCACAAAGAATTAATCAGCCATGCCGGAGGTCTAGTCTCTCCGGAGGCCTCTAGTTATAAAGTAGTTAACGCAGTCTTGTAAACACAGCGGAAGCGGTCCGCCGCACGCTTCGCCTGGACACATATGCAACACAAACCCGCGCAGCAGTCGCCGGTTTCGCGATTATACAAACCTAGTTGTTCGTATGCCGCGCGGCTGCATTCCAATAATCAAATAGCGACACCGCATAATTTATAGCAGGTACAATACGTAATTGTACACTACGGCATTCCTGTGCCTTTATCTATCTATCTCTCTCTCTATCTACTCCTGTATCTCTTCTCTCCTCTCTCTCACTCTCTTCTCTTCTCTCTCTCTCCTCTCTCTCTCATCTCCTCTCTCTCTCTCTCTCTCTCTCGTCTCTCTCTCTCTCGCGTCATCCTCTCTTCTCTCTCTAGCTCTCTCCTCTCCTCTCTCCTCTACTCTCTCTTTCTTCTCACCCTGTAGCATCTACGACCCGGCTGAATCTGTTGACTACTGCTGTACACCGCTGCTGGCATGTCTTCACCATGCCGGCTACAGCCCCAATGCGCCCAGAATGCTTCCTCCCCTATAACGCACTCCTAGCCTTCGGCTTATATAGCGTACAATTGTAATCGCAATTGTGTGCTGGTGACACTACTGACATCTGATACTACGGCTCCCACACCCGCTGCCGGCTGACTGTTACTCTACACTATACTAGGGTCGACTACTGCCCTTCGTGTCTCCGGTGCGCTTCGCCGTGAAACCACCAGGCCACTCTGCCGCAACAGCGTCAGTAAAAACTGATATAATAATCATGAAGGCACATTCACACCAATACTACTTACCTCTCAATTTACAGTTGCCACTGTTTGTTGTGTCACGCTGCTACCCTGTATACTAGCCCACTTTCCTGCGTAAAAAACAACGGTACTTACGTCACTCCAATGGACGCACGCTCCGCACAATTCGCAAGCCGACTGCGGACGTAATTGTTGGCTTCTGCTTGCATGTGCGCCTATATGACTAGATGCAGCTAAAAATATTATAACCATTAAGTTTCAATATAAGTAATATCTGAGGTTATGACTCTAGTTATATAGGTGATATGAGTTATGACTATATATATGTATAGGATTATATGATATACTTATATTATATTATATTATATTATCATTATATTATCTTATATTATATATCTATGTGGTGGAAACGAAGTCGTTATGAACGCGCGCCGCATCATACGAGCAGCCCGTGCTGGATTGCATACTGGAGGCACGCGAAATGCCATCTAGAATCCGCCAGGGAGTCGCGTTTGAAGCACTGAAGCCGACGCATGCTCACATGTCCTGTCGATCCAATTATGACAGCCCTGAGGCTGTCACCCTGATAGGGAGCGGCCACCGCTTCCAGGTTTCCCATGTGCCGTATTTCCGGTAGGCAGGCGATAATTGAGTCGCGTGGACCGCAAATGATAGATGTACAGTCAGAAGCATATTAATTAATGAGAGCGTTAATTAACGCGGTCTATTTACAGACGCCTTCATATCAAAAGTCGAGACCGATGTTGGTCTTTAGTTTGAAGACACGCGCACATGTACAAACATTTATATAAAGCACATGGCTACATAGTGAACCTGGACAGACTCAACTCTCTCGTGGTTGAACTGAACGATTCCTTTCAAGATAATATATATATACAAAATTAGTAATAACACATTAACAACCCTAAACGCGACTAACACATAATACATATATACACATGGGTAATATTTTAGTTTGCATTTATTGGTGTTATTCTAATATAGTAATAAGCAGCTGGATACAAAATGCACCCTTTAGAATGTAGTCTATACAATGGATATTCAAAATTCCTGCCGTGAAATATTTAAATGAACGTTCAATTTTCTATGGTTGCAGAGACCTGCTCAAAGAATGTTACCATTATTAATTAACTCACAATAAATCAACTTTACGCTTCATTTGCTTCCAATGATGATTCAAAGTCGGGGTAGGGGTGGAGTTGAGTAAAGTCACTTATTACAGAGACGTATTCATTGCGCTCCTACAATGGCTAATGGCTCAACAAGAAGCGACCATCTTTATTTTTCATTTTTCATTTTCATTCAGCTTATTTAAAACGCTTTAAACATAAAAGGCAGAACTTACAGGAAAGAAAAAAAATCTACCCTAGAAATTCCCTATGGACACATCGATCCGCATACATCTGGCTATCTCTGGCACCAAGTACAGAGCTGATGTCTATTAAGCTCCTATTTATCCTACGAGGCAGAAAATTCTATTGATTCTATCTTTCCGGTACCAACACATTTAGCTACTCGTTCCGAATTTATATTTATTATATTCATAACAGATGCAGTGCGTTGCGGTTGTAGACTGGGTGGATTTTACATCATTTTCCCACAAGCATTCACGAGAATTGCTCGAAAATCGAGCACATAACAATCCAAGACGACCTTCTAATATAACCCACCTAATCTGTGAACCCACGGATGATACATATATTATATATATATATATATATATATATATATATATATCAGGACATTTATCGTCCTATTGATTTCTGTTCAATGCGTCATACTCAATCACTTGATTTGCGTGTTGAGTAGCTCACCATTAACGCTGTAGTGTCGTGCCTCGGCCTTCCTGATTATATAACGGTTCTATGTTAAAAGATTATGCTAAATTTCGAATATCCAGTGTATAAAAAGAAAAGCTAGACTCTCAGCAGCCAACAGGCACATATAAACGAAGAAACCTACCGCTAGGAATTCCTTCATCCATCCTTTCAGCATCCCCTCCGGCTGTAAATAAAATGGGAAGAAGAATATTACACCTAGGTAACTGACACATAGTAACGTTTATTAATCAGCTTATAATTGCGTGCAAGGCGTTAATTAAAAGGCGCGTCAGAAGCAGATGAAATTTACTGACAAGCTTACTCGTAGGTACTGCCTACGCAGACCACGCAGATGTACATACGAAACTGACACACATCGTTCTATTACCGATTCAGCCAACGTCTTTATCAATAGGTTTCCGTTTAAAAACGATAACAACTATTATGTTATGTACACATCCGTCCTACATACGTGATACGTACAGATGCCGCAAGCTGGCAAAGATCCATTGGAACCACGTATGTTCAGCACGAACACAATTTATACTAGACTACATTCATATGGCATGAAGTGTAGATGAACAACAATACTAGCAAATGCATGTAAGATTAAGGGAACACTGATGTTGTGAAAATGAAGCCGGCAATCTCTGCAGATGGGAGGCGAGTAAGTAATTAGTTTGCCTGTAATGCTATCGTACAGTGACTGCTATTTGGAGCCCTGAGAATCCAGAAAGGAAAGTGCCGGTAATACCTCCTCCCCCATCATTGCATGGAAACCGTAATGTATTGCATATGAAGAGGTAACTACACTGTGTTTATCGTTATTCTTTCATCTTCCAATTTTGTCTACAATATGACCGCAGTACAGGCCACCCAGCTAACGGGCAGCCGGCTGCAAGGGGTGGTAGGATATGTTTACTAGGCACTTCTAATTTTAACATATATTTTAAATTTAATTAGGGTCAGGGTTAGGGTTAGGGTTAGGGCACTTTTTAGGGTTTTTGGGTCGTGT